AATCTAATAATCCGTTAAATAAATTGAGCAAATATAGATATAGATCAATCCGATTCGATAACCATTCGATCCGGTTACTATAATAATAGAATATATTTTATATATAGTATTGCATAATTTATTACACATAAATTTTTTTTTCATTTTAAAACTTGTATTATACTTAAACATAATTTTTAAATAACTAATAATATTAGATAATAGTATAATGTTGTTAATTGAAAAATATGAAGAGATTTAATTTTTTATTAATTAAAATAAAATAAAAATAATAATTACTTTGTTTTATAAATTGAACAACCAAAGGAGACAATATTGGAATTGCTTTCATTATTTTCAACTTATCACTTCCCACATCGGATACTCACTAGAATATCATAAAATTTACAATCTGTAAATAAGTAGACCAAGAATTGGGTAAAAAGCTATCTATGTCTTTTAATTTTAGGGTTACAAGTTGACAAAAAATTTTATTTGTCTAATTTTTTCAATTTCGGATCGGATATCCGATAACACAACGGATTGGATATGAATTTAACAATCAATTATCCGTTTGATTATATTATCAGATCGGATTTGGACCATTTCCGATCCATTTTCAAACTTAATATTAATGAGTGATTTGTTCTCGTTCGCAAAGCTAACCAAACACTTATGGTCGCACGTACTCGTATAAGTCATCTCGTGTATTCTATGAGGCTGTTTGACAATTTTTTTGATAAAATTGTTGACAAATTTTAGTAAAAGTTGATAAAATAAATAATTGAAAAGTATATAAAAGGATTAAAATTAATTATTAATTTTGACCTCAATTTTCAAAGTTTTTCCTTGCAAGGACTAAATTTCTAATTTAGTGAACACAAAAAATTGTTCTGGACCGTGGTCCAAGCTCTTGTGGCCTTGTGTTTACGTTGGTGGGCCGTCCTGATGGAAACAGATTTGAACCGATGGATTGGAGGGCGTAATCCAAGAAGCTCAAAAAATGCAATACTATTGGACAATTATTTTTTAGAAATTTACAGTAATGGCCAGAAAAAATTGCTGTATAGTTGGTGAAAAATACCGCCGAATTTAATGCTTCTATTTGTGTCAATTATTGCAATCAATTATCTTAGGCTGACAATCCAAAATTGTCATTTACTCGACTGGATAGATTGTTATGAAGAATTTAAACGAAATTAATTCAGATCGAATTTCCTTTTTTTTTTTCTTTAGATAACTATAAAATATATATTGATTCAAAATATAATTATTATTCTCCGTAATATGTCCATTTTAAAGTTTTGAATTTTTTTTTAAATTTTAAATTTCAAGAAAAACCGAGCCAAATGATTTGATTCAAGCACAATACCTTGACATCGATTTGACCCTCAAACTCGAGCAGAGTCTATGACATAGCTGGACTACCATGATGATCTAAACTTAGGGATGACAAGGGGGTGGGGTTAATGGGTGAATTGTCTAGAAATAAAATTATTTTTAATTTTTTTCTTCAAGGGGTGGGTTCAGGGCGGGGCATCCTCACCCCGCTTTGTCCCACCCCACCCTGCCAACCTGTTCAAGATGATGCGAGTTTTTTTGCTATCACTATCTAAACTTGTTAAAAATCTACTACAATAGTCCCCTTAATTTAATAGTTTTTCTATCTAGGAACCTCAGTCCTACTGAAGTGCAGTCACCCAAATATACTAGGACAATTAAACTTATTATGAATCCTAGTTGAACATATTTTATAGTCTCATCAATGTTTTAGTCTTCTTAAGACTATGTATGATAAATATGCTATTGGTGCTCATTACTTAGTGACACAATTAATTATTTTACTTTTGGGAAAATTGCAATCAAGATACCAATCTTTCATTTATTAGCAGACTTTCCTCAAACCTTTAGTTTGTACCACCGTGAATACCAAACCTTTAAAAAATGTGCAGCTCAAGTCTAAATTGACAATTTCCGTTAGTTTGACTCCAAAAATCGTCAGTTGACCTCAAAAATTAAAAATTTAATAATTTGACCACATAAGACAGGGGCATTTTGAATAAAACACATTTTTCCTATTAAATCAAAAATTAAAAAAATAAAAATAAATAAAACCACAACCCATTTCCTTCTTCCCTAAATCGAAACCGCTCCACTTAACCACCACATTCCCCCCCGACAGCCACCACTACTAGCCGGCATCACCACCACCCATTTCTCTCAAAACCTTAAGCTCCACAAAACCCACACATCACTTTCAAATTCGACGGGCTCAACCCCAACGCTAGACAATCGCTTAATCGACATTTCTTCCAAGGAAAACAAAAGGCACAGAGCTTAAGGTTTTGGGCAAAACTGACCATTCCATCATCAGTTATGGCTCGACAGGCACGAACCTTCAACCTGGTGAGATTCCTTCACTTCAAAGAAATTAGAATCAATGCATCATTGCCAATGTTGACTAATTTACGGTCGCACTTCAGCGCGAGCTTAGTGACAGAATCGAAGCGCAAAAATAATTTAGGGATAGCGGATGTATGCTCAAATCGGCTTTGGCCATCGATTCTCAGCCAACGACAGCACATCAAGGCCAACTGATTCCGATCCTCGGAGGATAACGACTGGAAAATCCAGGCCAGACATTCGTCTGGCAGGTTCAATGTGTAGTTATTCCCATTGACGGTGTCGTCCGTGTCGGAAGTGATGTCACCTGGTTTATCAGAATCTGACGACAATGGAAGTATCACGATGGGATTGACTGATCTGGGTCTGGATCTGGAATATGATTGGCTCATCCACGGTGGTTGTTGGATTAAAATGGTAGGTCTTCAGCGAAGGTTGAAATTCTTCTCTCTTGAGTGGTTTCGTAGATTCCTATAATTGATCATTTACTTCTCTCAAGTGATTCCTTCTAGATTGAAAGTGATGTGTGGGTTTTGTGGAGCCTAAGGTTTTGAGAGAAATGGGTGGTGGTTGCCGGTTGGTGGTGGTGGCTGTCGGCGGGGAATGTGGTGGTTGGGAGGAGTGGTTTTGATTTGGGGAAGAAGGAAATGGGTTGTGGTTTTATTTATTTTATTTATTTATTTTTTGATTTAATAGGAAAAATGCGTTTTATCCAAAATGCCCCTATCTTGCATGGTCAAATTATTAAATTTTTAATTTCTGGAGTCAATTGATGATTTTTGGAGTCAAACTAACGGAAACTATCGATTTAGATTTTAGCTGCACATTTTTTAAATGTTTGGTACTCACGGTGGTACAAACTAAAGGTTTGGGTAAAGTCTGCTAATAAACGAAAGGTTTGTCACCTTGGCTGCAATTTTCCCTTTTACTTTTACTTAACTATTTTATGCCCTAATAGCCTAATCCTAACTGAGTACTCATACTTATGTTTCGAGTGGTCTGAGGCTCAGGAAAATATTCCATTGCTGTTAGAAGATTGAGTAGGTCTCAATCCGTGTTCATTATCTAAAGGTATGGTTTTTTCCTTAAGAATTGACATGCATATCTTCTTACCTTGTTTGATATCCATTTTTTTCAAAATATATTTTTCTCTCTCTTCTTTTCAACCATACATTTTTCAATAAAATAATATTACACGTAAAACTAAAACTTCTTCTTAATTCTTAACCATACATTCTTTACCAATTAACTATTTCAAAATGCAATTTTACTTAAAAATGGAAAACAAACAGGGGTCATGTTTAATAAAGACACCGAGCATTCAATAGGAATTTTCCTTATTCTAGAAAAATAAGGTAAAAGGCGTTAGGAGCCTGCAAATGTGAACTATATAATAATTGGAAGTTTTGTGTCGGTGCACGTTAGGTCTATTATTATTATTTTCATAAGAACGCGGTTAAAGTCTTAATCAAGATTAATGTCACTTGCCATTTTCTCAGAAAGGAGGGAAAATATATTAAGCAAAAAGAACGATTTTCTAGTTTGCTTGCCTTTGAAAACGGCAATATTGTATTGATTGTCAATGTTCAATCATTTACCTAACCAGCTTAAGAAAATAATGTAACACATTTACATGTATCATTGGTCAATGAAAACGAGTACAAGTTTGAATTGTAGTATAGGTTTTAAGTTGGACACCAAAATTATCTAATTTTCTCCCATTTTGGTTCTTTGAAAATAGATCTTTGACTTTTTGCAATTTGTTAATTCAATCCTTATTTTACTTTTTTAACAAAGGAGTCTAAATTTTATGGAAATTAAATAAGTTTTATTAGAATATATTTTTATGATTCTATTCGAATATTAGTATTGAAATATGATTCTACGCAACATCAACATGAGGTAGGTTGAAAAAGTCTGATGTCGATTGGATATGGACACCATTGAGCTCCTCGACTTACATGTTGTTTGCATTGGTTGAGACAAGCTCGAAATTGAACGAGTATCTTTAAAAAATGGATAATCCTTGTCTGATTTTGAATAACAACAATTGAAGGATTATTTACCCTTTAATACCAAGATAAGGCTCTGCTTGCTGTACACAAGATTTACACATCCTCGCATGAAGGGACCTCACGATTAACATGAGGCTCCCTCACGTGAGAGAGGTGTAAGCTTACAAGCAAATTTACCCATCAAGATAATATTTGTTGGTCAAAATTGTTAATTGACATGACTTGAATAGTTCAAAATTCGAGGAGTCGCGATCTTACTACACGATTTCAAACTCGATCAACCTAAGAATCAGAACATGCTATGCTATCCTTATTTAGCCATTGTTTGAGCCACGTTATTGGAATGAAAATACATTTTTGAATAATATATTGATGGAAAATACGTGGTTAAAAAATAAGGAAATATTTTGAATTTGAGTATAATATTATTTTATTAACGAATGTGTGATTAAAATAATATTAAATAATTATTAAAAAATGTATATATATATATATATTTTTAAATAATGTGGCTCAGACAAGGCTTTATTTGAAAACTGAAAAGAGAAAAATAAATGAATAAGGAAAATGGAAGAAAGACAGGCGCGCAACAGCGAACTAAAGAACAGGAAAATCTACAAAATATGGATTCACACAGCGGTTAACATGTTCCCCTAACCCTCTTCCTTAAAGAAAACCCACCAACAAAATCCACCACTTCTCCCTTTTCAACAAATTCAACTCACAATATTGTTTGGGCAACTCTGTGTTCAAACTTTTTTTTCCAGATGGCCGGAAAAGAAGTCACACCACCGGAATTTCATATACGGGTCCACTCGAGGCGAGGGGCCAATACGATCCATCCAGTGGAGGTGAACACGCCGCCAGTCATCGCCACTTCCGCCGCCCCAAGTCCTAACACGGTTGCTTACAGAGAAGTAAGGCTTTTTAAGAAATGGAAGCCCTGGTTGATTCCTGCCTTTGTTGTAGCCAATACAGTGATGTTTGTTATAACCATGTATGTAAATAATTGTCCGAAGAATTCGGTATCCTGCGTTGCTGGGTTTTTGGGGAGATTCTCCTTTCAGCCCTTCAAAGAAAATCCTCTTCTTGGTCCTTCTTCTTCTGCGTAAGACTCTTTTTTGTTCTTTCAGATTTTTTATTTTTTTATGTTTCAAGTTGTTTGCTTTGGAAAGATTTGCGCTTTGGTATGTGCTCTTTTATTATTACGATTTTTCAATGATTTTCAGTGATTTTTTAGGCTTTATGTTATGACAAGTACCGAACCAAATATACAAAGAAGTCAAGAATATTTTCAGCAGACCTAAAATATGAAACAGAAATTTATTAAACCTTTCGAAAAACTCAGATCCAAGGCATCAAAGTGAAGATCATTACATTTGGTGCTTAGACACAAAGAACGAATTCTGTATGACACTCAAAACCCTAACCCAGATCTCCTGAGTTGCACGTTTATTGATTAAACGGTAACCATAAGGATCACACAATAGTTCTCTCTTCAAGATTACACACAACAGTGAAGAATATCTCACAAAGATCACACTTCCAACCAAAGGTTCGGAAGAAGAACTGGAAGAGAAGAGAACAGTCTGGAAACACAAACCCAAACGGCGAAAGATGAAAGTGTCAAATAGGGCAACCAAGAGGATTACTTATACCCTTATCACCAACCATTGATCACATCTTCAATCCAACGGTCCGGTTGGTTTCTCAGATAACCAAAAAGGTGCAAAAACGTGTTGAGCTGCTGCCAAGGAAAAGCGCCAAGCCTCAAAACACGCTTTTTCCTCATTTGGATCCAGTTCATGGGTTTGGGCCAATATATTGGGCAATTGCATGTTTTAATTAGGGTTGGGTAAAACTCCTAAATCGAACCGGACTCGAGGCGAGCGGTTCTTCTTGAGTTAAATACTCAAACGGGGATCTGAATCGAGAACTGACCGGTTCGGTTCGGTTTTCGATTCTAGATCAAGAATCGAAGAACTGCATTTCCCTAATTTTTTAAATTTGTTTATTTTTAAATAAGTCAAATTATTTTATTTTTTAAAATAAATTTGCTAACTAGTTAATTTAGCTCAAATCCCAAAAATATAATTTTCCTCTTTCTAATTTTCAATTCAAGCCAACTTGATCAAATTGACCTAAGTTTTACCAAAATCTGTTATTTTACAGTAATGCCTTTTTACCGTTGTGCAGATCTTGAATTGAAACTCGACAGCACCCCTCCAACTTATTGAAAACTCGTTATTTTTCTCTTCCTATGATTTTAACAATCAAATATATGAAGAATTCAGCAAAGAGAGACGCGAAAAATATATAAGATTGTATTACGTTATTTTGTAAGAACTAAGATTGAACATGTCATTGGTTGAATTAATGTAATTTTGTAAATATTAAAAAAACTAATTATAGTACAAAACTTGGGAACTGAATGGAATCGAACCCACATGGTTCCATAATTAAATTTGGACCTGACAGTGTTACTTACTAAGTATCCGAAAATTTCGTGTTCGATTAGAGCCGAACCGAATCAGATCATGTCCAGCCCTAATTTTAATCCAAAATCGATTTTTTGGGCCTTAGCCTTATCATCATTGCCCCAAGACAGCCCCACACTTTAAAATTAAAATTTTATAGCGAAAAATAAACAGAATTTAGAATATTGAGAATTTTAACTTACTTCGCAAATTAATACTATTGGTATTTTGCTAGATTGATACCAGCAAGAATATGGGTTTGAGTTGAATAGAGAGGTGAAACAAGATTTATGCAGTTAGGTGAAAATGATATTGTTGAAAAGATCTCGTTTGAGCCGAGAGACATTTGATTTGTCCTCTCACAGAGTATTTCTTTTCAATATGATGCTGGTTTTCTGGTTAATTTGAGGAAAGGGTAAAATATTGAAGTTGATTCACAAATTAAGTATGTTTATATGGTAACTAAAATTTGTTCAACAAGGTTTAAATGGATAGTACAGAAGGGATTTTAATGTTCCTAGAGAGAGATCGGATTAATATTTTGTAGGCTGAAGGCATCAGAAGCATTCGAAGAGAGGCCTTAAAGGGTGAAATATTGAAGTTGATTCATGAATCAAGTATGTTTATATGGTAATGAACATTTGTTTAACGAGGTTTAAACGGATAGTAGGGATTTTAATGTTCCTAGAGTGATAGAGGTGGAAAGGCAGTTTAGCCCCATCATTTTCATCAAAATACATTCTTCAAAAGTGATTTGACCTCATCTTAACCACACATTCTTCATTAAAATAATATTACACGTAAATCCAAAAATTTCTTTATTTTTTAACCACACATTTTCTATCAATGCACTATTCAAAAATGAATTCTTTGGCAAGAATGGGGCTCAAACAAGGGCTTAGTATTTTCCACATCAAAAGTATTAGAAGAGTCATTAAATGAAGGCATCAAAAATATTAGAAGAGTCATTAAACGAAGGCGTCAAAGGGGGAATCAAACTAGAAGAGAATGGTGCTATGTAAAGTTTGGTATGTCATATATGCTTCAAACATGCTAGACTAGGAAACTTCAAGATTTCAAATCAGATCATGAGCGCTATACAAATTTCTTTGTCAATGTATATTTATATATTCTGTATTGCCTACTAATTAATAATGGTGCTATGTAAAGTTTGGTATGTCATATATGCTTCAAACATGCTAGACTAGGAAACTTAAAGATTTCAAATCAGATCATGAGCGCTATACAAATTTCTTTGTCAATATATATTTATATATTCTGTATTGCCTACTAATTAATGTCGGATTATCAAATGATCTGCAAAATGAAATTTATTAATTTAGTTGTTCTATTCTATTTTTCTTTCTTGAATGGATTATGAAAGGATATGCAAATTGGAAGTTATTAACTTAGTTTGTACTATTTTATTTTTCTTTGTTGAAGAATAATTTATTGACATTGTTTCGTAACTAAGAAATTTAAGCTTGCCCCTTCTTTCTTCCATTTTCTGAAATGTCTGGACCTTAAATAGTTAGGTTGTTTATTTCTTGTCCATTTTATATACAAGGTAGACCAATTGTGTTTATGTATATATTGGTGGAACATCTGATTGAACTCTTTATATCAGTATGTTCGCAAGGTTTGCTACCATACTGTAGATAACTGCATCCTTGGCTAATGAAGTAAAGTTACCTTTTGCTGTAAAAGCATTTTTGGGAAGTGTTTATAAACGGTTTAAATTATAAATAGATAGAAACGAGTGGTGGATAAATATATAGTATTTGTGGGTCCCTTGAAATGTGTGGATGTAAAGTGATTTTGAGTATTTACAAATTGTTTATAAACATGAGCCAAACATAAGCTAAATTTCTTTCCTGATATATTAGATGATCTATGACCTGAAATTGCTATTTGTGCATGATGGTATGATTCTGGGAATTGCTTCTAAAACACCATTTTTCCTCCTATTTAAAGGTTAGAGAAGATGGGTGCTTTAGATGTGAGTAAAGTGGTCCACAAACATGAAGGATGGCGCCTCATCAGTTGTATGTGGTTACATGGTGGAGTTTTTCATTTACTAGCCAACATGCTGAGCCTGTTAGTTATTGGTATTCGGCTTGAGCAAGAATTCGGGTTTGGTATGTATCATGCTGCACAGTCCTCAGTTTTGAATATGCCGTGTAAATTGTTTTTAACCATGTACTTGTATAATTTTGTATTATTTTAGCTAGAATAGTTATTATTGATTTACTAATGGATGCATATCATGAATGCGAAGATTAATCCTATTGAAATGCTCATAACCTATTGTAATTATGGAAAAATGACATCTGGAATGTTTGTATTACATTGTGGGCCCCTATTAGCTTAACCTTATACTTTTTTCTGGGGGGTGAAATGTAACCTTATTGTCTATTAAGTTGATAACACTAAGACCGTCATTCTGTTTATGGTAGCTAAGGCTATATTAGTTTAGTATAAATCTATTATGCATGATGAAAAAAGAACCATCAATGATCAACTTTATAATATTATGATTTAAGTTGACATAATTATATAGGTGATTAATAGTTTGTATGCTTGTCTTCTTTCATTTTTGTAACTGTTTTTGGAACTCAATACCAATATCCTCAATATACGTGTTTTCATGTGTACATGGTATATTTGTCTGTATGCAGGTATTTTCATAGAGCCCCTTCCAACTGCAGGAAAATAATATTTGACTGCCACTTTTATAGGGAAATGTGGCAAATACTCATCTGCTAGGTTTCATTCCTACTTTCCATCCATAGTAACGGTACATTAGTCTTTTTTGCAATTTCATGAAAACCAGAAAGGAGAAAAATAAGTTAAGCTGAAATTAGGCATGAGCCTACTAGTTAGTGCAACATTCCTTGGTGAATCTAGAAAGAAATTCTGCCCCTTTATCTATGCCCTCTTTCTGCACTACAATGGCACACGCATGCATAGGCAAGCGTCTCTCCATTTTGAATCTCCTCCTCCATCTCTGTGATCATTGCCCCAACTATTACTGCCACCAACATTTTCCTTCCAGTCCCTCCACTCCCACTTCCCCTTCCTCCTTTATCTCTAGTCACCTTTGTCATCTGTCCAATATAGAACCCTTGAAGACTTCACAACCATGCCACCCTCTCCTCCTCCACCTCTCATTCCTTACCCCTAACTACTACCTATTAATACCTCTATCTCGACGTATCAGTTAATGGTATCCAACTTTGATGTCTACACAGGGAAAGGAATAATTAAAATCCAACCAAATGAGGGGGTGAAAAATTGTGTTGTGAGATTGCATAATCATATAATTTGATGTCATCTTGTTTTATTCATTAGTTATTGGGTTTGAGTTTGATCGGGTTATGGGTGGTAGTATTTGTCACAATAGAGATCATTTTGCTCCAAAGAATAACGGTTTAGGAATTTAGTTCAATTATGAATCAGGCAAAGGAACTTGCATATTATATCTTACATATGACTAAATCAGGTTGGACGAAATGGAGAGGTGTTATGGGATTACAAGGATTCTATGTGAGCATTAGATACTTTGCCAGTTAATTGGTGTATTCTTCGTAATCGTTATTAGACTAGCTGTACTTTTACGTTAATGAGTGTTGGGCCATTAAAATGACAGATTTTCAGAGATGAATGTAGCGTAAATGATGATGTTAATGTTGATATGTGAGCGTACTAAAAATGAAGGAAATGAGAAACAAAGATACATAAAGGTAGCACCAACGATTATAAGAAGGGAAGTTCAAATAAAATGGATGGGTCAAATATTTCATAGACCTTAAGAAATTTCTACTAATGAATAATAATTAATCTTTGAAGATCAAAATAAGGGGACATGTAAAGTGGAATTGACGTCTGATGTAGTTGTAAAAGATTTGATTTCTTGGTCCTTTCTGTACATGTAAGGATAAGGAATTTATGCAGTTACATTGTTTAAAAAATGCTCGATTGAGTAATGAGCGGTTTGACCTTTGTGAGGCAAGATGTAAGCCTTGAGGCGCAAGCCTCAAGACAAACAATAAAATCTTTCAAAATATGAAAATACAAAAACATGCTCGCAATGAACCATAAACCATTGTAAAAATCCATAATAAAACGAAACAAATTTTAACAAAATTAATAGTCAAATTTACAAAAAGAGATAATGTAGCAATTAATGTGTTTCCAGAGAATATTACTAACATAACAAAAATATAATCTACTACTCGAAGTAGAGAGAACCCAGAAGTCCCACGTATAATCACCTACTAATACAATCTTTAAGAGAATCATCTAACATAGTTGATTCCCTGATCATCTTCTTCATTGCTGTCAGTTTCTTCTCAGTTTACTATAATCTTTCAGTTGCAATGTTGATTCCCCCCCCCCCCCCCCCAC